TTACAAACTTGTGAATTACCAGCTGCCTGCCTAGTGCTCAGAACTTTGTGTGCCAACCACAAGGACACCACAAGATGCATATTAGTCTTTCCTGTTTTAGAAAGGAAAACTCAGGACAGAGTTGTCCAAAATCCAGCCTCAGACAGTACCAGGAATGTCGAATAGGAAGGCAGGGGGTCTGGTTGGGAGGGGGGGCGTGGCAGAGTCTGGCTGTGTTACTTAAGCTGCCTCTGAACTCCCAGACCCAGATGATCTTCCCATCTTAGTCTCCTGAGTAGTTGGGGTTCTAGGAGCTTGCCACCACACTCAGCTGGGTTTCTTCTACCCTCCCACATGGCAGCAACTGCACAGGACTCTCAGAGACGTCCTATCATGGCTGCAAAGAGCCTTCTCCATGGTGACATCACAGCTAACACTTCCCAAGTCCCTCTGGTGCAGGTTTTGGCCTCTTCTTCCTCATGGAAACTCAAGGAGGTCAACACTATCTTACCTGCTTCATAAGGAGGTCACTGAGGGACAGCAAAGCTAAATACTTATCCCAAGTCAAAGAAGGAAGTGACAAAGCCAAGACTCGGCCTTGCCACTTTCAACCTGCAAACGTCTTCATCTCTCTCGTTGGTCTCTGAAGTGAAATGCAAAGACCACAACTGTTCTTCCTCCCAGAAAACACCCTGTGAATCAACACCCACGACACGGCATAGAATGTGTACTCATGCTCAAACTAAAGCTCTGGGCTGACTAACAGCCCGGCCTGGAGGTGGTCAGACAGATCCCACATTTACACAAGACCTCCTCCAGTTCTGAGCCTTTTGCTTGCCCCTTCCATGTTTCTCTCCTGGCTTGCCTACCCCTGTGTCACTGCCCCTACTCAGAGAACAGTTTCCAGCCTGCCAACACCCAGAAGACAGAGCAGAGGCAGAAGGGAGCCTGCAGACCTAAGAGGGGATCTTTGGAAGCCACTAGGAAGCTTTGTGTGAGCTGATGCGTTAAGAAACTCCCACGCAAATGATCACAGCGCCACCTGGTGATCACTTGGTGTTTCTTGGACAGGAACATTAACACAACAAACTGAGGTTCAGGGGCTGGAGATAGCTTAACAGTTAAGAGTACTGGCTACTCCTGCAGAGGGGCTAGGTACCCACATAGCTGCTCATAACTGTCTGTAACTTCAGTCCCAGGGGACCTAATATTCTCTCCTTACCTCCAAGGGCACCAAGCACACACAGGGCACACAGACATATATGTAGCAAAAACATACATACACATTAAAAAAATAACGAAGTAATTCCAAATAAATAAATAAACAGGTCCTAATACCTACCTGTTATTAGGTTGTGTTCATCCATCGCATTTTAAATTCTAACAACTGTCTAACGAAAGAATCATGGCTGGAGAGATGGCTGTTCGTAAAAAGGCACATGACCCTGAATTTAATCCGTAGGGTTCACATTTAAAGTCAGCCACCAGCACTGGTGTCCCATGACTTTAGTCCCAGTCATAGGTGGATACAGACAGGTGGATCTCTGTGAGTTCAAGGTCAGCCTGGTCTATACAGCGAGTTCCAGGCCAGCCATGGCTAAATAGTGAGACTCTATCATAATAATAATAGCAGTAGGAATAATAATAAATAAAACATCAAGCATATCATGTGCTTAATAGCAACTCTAGGGAGGCAGGATCCCTGGGCTTGCTGAGCTCCAGGCCAGTGAGAGACCCTGTCTTATAACACAAGGTGGACAGTTCCTGAGAAGCAACTCACACACACACGTACACACACACACTCACATACACACTCACACACGTACACACGTACATGCACTCACATACACACTCACACACATACACACTCACATACACACTCACACACACATACAAAGGCACACACACACCATTTTTTCAATTTTGAAAAACATAAAGGAGGAATCATTATCCTTTTTACAAACAAGGACCCTGAGCTCAAGCATGCAGTTACTCAGAAAGCCGTTCACTGGGCATCCATTGAGTGGTAGGCACTGGGCCAGTTAGCAGATGCTTTATTGAAGAAAGTGGGCTGACTCTCTGAATAAATGAGGCTTATGGAGAAAATGGACATTAACCAAATAATCACACAACAGTAACAAGGGACGTGAAGGAGAGATATATAAATGTCCCTACTCATCCCAGGGGTCAGGGAAGGGTCCCCAGAGGAGTCAGACATTAAACTTAGATCTGAAAGATTACAAAGAATTACTCGGACAATGAGGCATTAATTTGCACATTGATGGATAAAAGCAGTGTACATCTCCATTTGCCCTTTTTCATTCTTTGCACACATATATGCATTCCTAAAATGCTTGCCTTCCAATTCCAATGCATGCCAATCCATTGAGACTGTTCATTTTAACTAAGGAAGCTGTCAGCCTACTGACATCTCCCATCTGTACCACAATTTATTTTTCCAAGCCCCTGATGTTGACACTTGGGCTGTTTCCAAATTTCCATTCCTTTAAACAGTACCACAACCAATGTCCTCCATGTTCACTTTTCACAACATCCAAATCTGTGAGGATGCCCCTGTGGTCCCTGCCCATGTTCACTTTGATACTCACTGCCATCACATTTGTGTGTGTAATATGTGTGTGTGTGTGTGCAGTATGTGTGTGATGTATGCAGTGTATGTGTGTGCATGTGTGTGGTATGCAGTGTGAAGTGTGTGTACATGCAGTATGTATGTGTGTGTACATGTGTGTGCAGTGTTTGTGTGTTCAGTGTGTACGAATGTGTATGTGCAGTGGGGGAAGAATGCATGTGCTACAACACACATGTGGAGATTGGAAGACAACTTTCTAGAGAGAGTTTCCCTTGTCTCTTCTGCCACACTGTAGTCCAGGCTATTCGTGCCGATGTGTATTCCAAGCTATTTGCCCCTCCCTCATGTGTACTCCAGGCTGTCCCCCTGCCCCAAGCTTATGGGTCATCCTCCTGTCTCTTCCCATCTCCCAGGAGGAGTGCTGAGAGTTCAGAAGCAGAGTTCCACATGAAGCTTTTTGTATGTTCTCCAGACAAACCCTGGTCATCATGCTCACACAGAATGCGCTTCGCCCACTGAGCCAGCCATTTGCCACCCTCTTCCCACTTTCATTTCCACTTTCCACACCAGACAGCACTTAAGAAACACACACAAAGAGCAACCCCGGCCAGCGTCAGGACAGTGAAGAGCAGGGGAGACTTACGGCCAGAGTATACCTTCTCCTCTACCAAATTCACTCCCCAGAAACTCTACCATTCACTCTGTAAGATCTGTCTGGGCTGAATGGAACAGACCCAGAGGGGAAGTTGGGCTCCGGGCACTTGACCCGGAGCTTCTAAAATATACTAGCGGGAACAGCACATCTTCTCCAGCCCTGTGCTCTCACTGACTTGGGGTCAGTCCACTGGGTCTTTCTGATCTGCATCCAGCCCCATCTTAACAGTATAAATCACTCAATATCCCCTAATTCTGATCAGAAACTCCTCCAAAGCTGTAGGTTCAAGGTCAGCCTGGGATAGATATATAACAAGAAACTGTTAGAAAAGAAAGAAAGGGAGGATATTTGGAAAAGGAAGGGGAAGAGGTTTGGGAGGGGGAAGGAGTGGGGGGGGGAGATAAGGACTGAGGAGGGGAGGGTGTGATCCCACCCACCACTAGCTGGAGAGGGTGCCCAGTCTACAGACAAAGGGAGTTTCTAAGCCCCTGGGCAGGTGTTTCCAAAGGAATCCATTTCATGCCTTCACACTGGATGTACAAGGGAAGCTGCTAGAAAGCTTTGAAAACCTCAGGATTCAACAGGAGAGCTCAGAGCAAGGTCCATCAGAGAGGAACACCCCCCCCCAAGCTCAGGAACCCAGACTTAGCACTGGCCTCTGAAGCCATGGCCCTGGCTTCTAGAACTGTCCTGGAAAGGGGTGTGGGGTACAGCCATACATCAGGCCATGTCTTCTTGGCCCACCATCCAGGTAACCCTCTGTGGTGGCTTAAAAGAAAATGGCTCCCAAAAGGAGTGGCCTGAGGTCTGGAGGGACCACAACTCCACACCCTCACAACTCCCTGCACCCACTGGGTGGATGTGAGCTTGTGGTCTGCTAATTGTGTTCTACTACCCTGATGCCCACCCACTCCACCCCACCACCACCATGAAAGTGAAATAACTGGCCTGGTAGAAATGAAGACATTCAATAGGAACTCTTGTATCTTTCAATATGACTACTAGACTATTGAAGCAGTGCACCCCAATGAAATGGGAACTTCCCCGGGAATCTCATGGTGAAAAGGGGAACATGTGCCAGCCAGAGGGAGAACTTGTCTCCTACAAAGAGATTTACAACTTGTCAAATGTTCACTTTCCAGGATGAGTCTGAGGTCCAAACAAAGATTGTCAATGTTTGGCATAGCCACACTGGGCCAGGACTGCTTAGATATGCATGTCCTTGGCCTTCTATTTAAACTTTAATCTCACTTCAGGACCACAAAAGTAGACTTGAGAGAGTCACTGGATCTCTACCTCTCTTCGCAATGTGACCACAGACCATATTAAATTTCCTTTTACCTTTTTTTTTTTTTTTTTTTTTTTTTTTTGCCATTAACTTGGCTGTTTTAATTGGTGATACAAGGACAGATGACCAAACTTGACCTCTTGGAGTACAGATAGTGACCCTAAATTCGGTAACAGAAGAGCCATGTTCACTCCTGTAATCCTGCACTGAGCACATAGTAGGTACTCAGAAAATGACTGTGAAATACATAAAAGGGGACCTTGCAACACTTCCTGTGTACATGCCACCTGTCGTCTCCTATCTTGTAACCCATGACTACACACAACATCATCAGATAATCATCGTTTAAGGTCAGAAAAGCCTGCGCTTACAGGTCCCTGGGACAGAAACCAAGATGTCAGCAGGTCTGCATTCCTCTGCAGGGCTCCCAGAAACATCCATTTTTTTTTCAGCAGTTCAAAGTGTTGACATAAAATACAGCTCACACATCAGAGGAAATAAGAGTTTATTCTTGAGCCAAATATGGGTGGACATGGCCCGGGAACACAGGTTTGGGTTACCACCCCCCAACAACATGCTCCAATGTGGATCTGATTTATGATATTTTTAGAGTTACAGAATAAAATAAAGCATCTTTCATGTACATGGGCGGATCACTGAGTAGGTGAGTCATAGCAAAACCAGGAAGCCTATTATAAGTCTCAAATGTTATCTGGCCACACACTTAGCTTTGGGGTTGATGGAAGCTAGTGCTCTGCTAGGCTGATACATCAGAAGGATTCTAGCTGATAGTCAAAAGGATGTTATGGTCTGGGAAGACTGCTCTGCCATTAAAGTACTTGCCATACAGTTATGGGACCCCGAGTCCAGTCCCCAGAAGCCATGTATAAAAGCTGTGTGTCATGGCATGCACTTGTGATCACAGTGCTTGGAAGGCCGAGACATGCAGATCCTCAGGTCTTGCTAGCCAGCCAGGCTAGCCCGTCTGTCAAACTCCAGGCCAGCGAGAGAAGAATTTGTACCTAAATCAAGATGGGGACATCAAGATGGTTCAGTGAGTATAGGTAATTGCTACTAATCCTAGTGACCTGAATACAGTCCCAAGACCTCACATGATAAAAGACAAAAACAATCTCCCACAATTGTCTTCTGACCCCCACATATTCTCCCACCTCTGTAGTAGATAAATAATTATTAAAAAGAAACTGATGAAACAAGGTGGACAGTCCTGAGGGACAACATCTGAGGTTATCCTCTGGCCTCTATATGTGTACACACACACACACACACACACACACACACACACACACACACACACACATAAACACACTCAGAAAAAGATGTTAGGTCAGGCACAGAGGTGGGCAACTAGTAGCCACTGGGGTATTAAAGGGAACCTGAGATAATTTTGGCCTCACATCCACAGTGTCCAACTTACCACCACCACGGGGTTCCAACCAATCAGTCAGTCTGCAACATGACTGTGGCTTTCTTCTAGATCACTGTTTCCAGAAGCCACTTAGATTCCTTGGCTTGGGTTTTGTTCCTCCCAGTTTCCAATCCTTCAGTGTTGCATCTCCAACTGAACCAAGACAGGTTACAGAGAAGGACCAATCTCCTAAGAATGGCTTGGATGATGGGACTGGGCCACCACAGGAAGCCAGAGTAACCACCCCATCTCCAGGTCCATGTCTGCAGAGTCCCTTCTCCAATGAAAAGGGAGAAGAACCACAAGTCCTGTGCCTAACCCTGAGCATCTTTCTCTTGCCCTGCAGGGCCAGACCCGGAAACAGGAAGGTGAATTAACACCACCTTACTCTCTGGCCTCCAGCCAAGTGGAATTCAAAGCTAAGTCTTGAGCTATGGAATGTGAGAAAAATACACATTATTTGTGCAGCGAGGCATGGTGACGCCCACATTTAATTCCAGAACTCAGGAGACAGAAGCAGGAGGATCTCTGTGAGTTTGAGGCCAGCCTGATCTACATAAGCAAGTTCCAGGACAGCCAGAGCTATGTAAAAAGGCCCTGTCCTCTAAAAAGCAAAGGTATCCGTGTCTAGACAGTAGACAAAATATTTCTTTCCTGTCATTATCTTTATTTTAACGTAAATATATGGGCTAAAATGGAACTGTTAACATAAATACATGGGCTAAAATGAACTGTGGCCTCTCGTCTACGTAATTAAACATGTGGCCAGCAGATGGCAGTACAGGCTCACAGCAGGCCCTCCACAACCTATGCCCACCTCTTCTATTCTCCAGAATCTGCCTGAGGAAGAAATGCCCCACCCAGAGGGAACTGCAAAGGCCAGGGGTGGGGGAATCTAGCACATGTCCCTCTCCTGAGCCAGGTCAAGCCTGCAGGAACTGAGGAGCTTGACACCAAACAGAAACAACTCTCCAGTATTTACCATCTCATCCTGTCTGTGGCTCAATGTGCAACTGGTCACTAGACAAATTGATCCAAGGCTGTATGTGGTGGTGTATGCCTGCAAATGCTGGAGACAGGAGGATGAGCCGTTCAAGGTGAATCCCAGACACACAGAAATCCTGTCTCGGTCTCCATCCTTGCTGGGAAGATCACACGATGCTAGCAGAGCTTATTAATCTCTCTAAAGCCCACACTGAAATGAAAAAAGTCTTCAGATGTGGGGGCGTTGGTGGAGCACGCCTTTAATCCCAGGCAGAGGCAGGCAGATCTCTGTGAAGTTCAAGGCCAGCCTGGTCTACAGAGAGTTTCAGGATAGCCTCCAAAGCTACAGAGAAACCCTGTCTCAAAAAAAAAAAATAAATAAATTGAAAAATGCATTTAAAACTGGCTATGCTAGCACCTGCCTTTTGTCCCAGCACTTGGAAGGAGGCAAAAGATCATTGTGAGTTCCAGGACAGTCAAGGCTACACAATGAGACACTGCTCCCCAACCCACCCCCCAAAAAAAATACAAGTGGTGATGGTGCATGCCTTTAATCCCAGCAGTCGAGAGGAAGAGGCAAGCAGATCTCTGTGAGTTCAAAGCCAACATGGTCTACAGAGTGAGTTCCAGGACAGCCAGGGCTGCACAGAGAAACCCTGTCCTCAAAAAACAAACCAAAAAAAAAAAAAAAAAAAAAAAGGAAGGAAGTGAGCACACAATATACCTGAAATATCAACTTAGACAAATTTAGAACAAAGTCTAATAAAATTACTGAACGTGTTAGGGAAAGAGGGAAAAGTCCTTGAGTGTCTAGTCAGAATAAATACATAAATACATGATGTAAGAAAATAAACTCAAATACTACTGAGCAATGCTTTATGCCAGAAGAAAATGAAGTGGCATTTTAAAAATTAGTCTGTAACAGAGGATATGCTAATAATTTTTTTGCCCAACAAAACTAACTTGAAAATATAATGGGTACAACTAAGTATTTACTATAATTTGAATGTTAAACATTCCTTGCAGACCTGTGTGTTAAAGACTTGGTCCCCCAAGCAGGGCTGCTGAGAGAGGGTGGAACCTTCAGGAGATAGGGACAAGTAAAAGCCTTCAGGTCACCAGAAGTACGTCCTTGAAAAGGATTCTGGGGACCCTGTGATATATACTCCCACCTCAACACCCTGCCTGACACAAACCCACTTCCCTTTATAAGTTAATTTCTTCCATGGTTATCACAGTTGCAAAAGGCTGGCTAACACAATTTTGGACATGAAAAAACTGAAGAAAGAGAATTCTCCCGAGTCCTTCCTAAAAACCTGCTAGAGAAAACTACAACCAAAATGACTAAAACTACAAAAAATAAAATGTAAAGTAATTACTTGTAGGATACATAGTTACGTATATCACTGAGATTAAATGAGAATTGTGATGGAGATATGCCATGCAATAGCTATGTGTTCTGACAGTGAAGCTATAAGACCATTTCTAAAATATGAAGAATTTCTAAGATATGAAGAACTGAGCCAGTGAGATGGCTCCATGAGCAAAGGTGCTTATTGCCAAGCCTGGTGACCTGAGTTTATCCCCAGAATTCACATGGTGGAAGGAGAGAGCCCATTCCTGAAAGCTGTACTCTGATCCCCACATGAGCACTGTGGCAGACATTTGTACAAGTGTGTACACAAAAAATAAATATAAAAAGAAAGTGTGAGCTGGGTGTTAATGGTGCACATCTTTAATCCCAACACTGGGGGGGGGGGAGGCTGAGGTAGGGGGATCTCTGTGAGTTTGAGGTCAGCCTGGTATACAGAGCTACAGAGAAACCCTGTCTCAAAAGAAAGAAAGAAAGAAAGAAAGAAAGAAAGAAAGAAAGAAAGAAAGAAAGAAAGAAAGGAAGGAAGGAAGGAAGGAAGGAAGGAAGGAAGGAAGGAAGGAAGGAAGGAAGGAAGGAGGAAGGAAGAGAAAAAAGAAAAAAGAAAGAGAAAAAAAGAAAGTGTGAGAAGTTAAAGCTTCACTCAGCCTTAAAATATAAAGAATAAAGGCTGGAGAGATTTAAGAACATTGGCTGTTCTTCTAGAAGATCCTGGTGCAATTCCCAGTAGTGACATGGCAGCTCACCACTGTCTGCAACTCTAGTTGCAGGGAATCCAACACCCTTACACAGACATACATGCAGGATGCAGGCAAAAAAACCAATGCACATAAAAATAAAAAAAGGATACTAACATAAACTTTAGGAGCTGAAGAGATGAATCAACAATTAGGTTTAGAGCACTTGCTGTTCTTGGAGATGACCTGGGTTCATTTCCAACCACCCACACGGCAGCTCACAACCATCTAACTCCAGCTCCAAGGAGTCCAACACTCTCTCCTAGTCTCTGTGAGTACTTCACACAAATGGTACATGCACATACATGCAGGCAAAACTGTAAAATAAAATAAATATAAAATGCATATTTATATATTTATCATGTATGTGTATATATATAGCCTAATATATGCATATACATATACATACATACATACATACATACATACATACATACATACATACATATATTTCAGGGCTGGACAAATGGTTTGATGGGTAAGAGCATTTGACTACCTGAGTTCAGTTCTCAGAACCCACAAGGTGAAGAGAGAAAACCGACTCCCTTGAGCTATTCTCCGGCGTCTACTTGCACAGCATGGCACGTGCATGGGCACACACATACTAAATAAATAATGTAAAACAAAAAATAAAGAATATATGCCTTTCATATGTTTGTGAATATGTCTAGAAAGAAAGTTGCTTGGGGTATGACTGTTGCCATTTTTACTTTTGAGTGTGTGATATAGAACAAATAGAATAAATAAAATCGGATCCTCTGATTTTATTAACCCCTATGTACATGAAGACTTGATTTTCAACATGGTAAAAGGGAATATATTCCTTTCTAAAATATTTTTATTTTAAGTGTGTGTGTGTATGTGTGCACACGTGTGCCTGTGTGCACTTGAGTGCATGTTCGTGCAGTGCCCCTGAAGGCCAGAGGTGACAGATCCCTGTGAAGCTGAGTTACAGGCAGATTAGGAACCGCTTAATGTGGGTACCAGGAACCAAACTTGGGTCCTCTGGAGGAGACATATCTGTTCTTTTGTTTTGATTTGTTTTGTCTTGTTTTGTTTTGTTTTTTGAGACAGGGTTTCTCTGTGTAACAGCCCTAGCTGTCCTAGAACTCACTCTGTAAACCAGGCTGGCCTCAAACTCACAGATAACTGCCTGCCTCTGCCTCCCAAGTACTGGGATTAAAGGCAGGAACCACTGTCCAGCCAACATATATGCTCTTAACCAATAAGCCATCTCTTCTGCCCCCACACGATGAATTTCATAGAGAGAGATTAAGGCGGGTCACTTCTGGGCCTTTTGGTTAAGGTCATGTGCAGACAGATCAAAAGGAGGCTTAATAGAGCAGAGATCTGGTGACAAATCTCAGTGTGTACTGTAAGAGTCAGTGACAGGGCTCTATTCTCCTGACAGCTGGCTGAAGTGTGTGTGATAAAGCACATCCCTGAGGACCAAATCAGCAGGAATGTGCATCCCTCACACTGAGATGTTGTCATGAAATCCCATTTCCCACTTTTAAAAAGTCTTCCTGGAGAGACCATAGATCCTAGCTCAAAAGTTCCGAATTAGGATCATGACCCCACATGACCCCACATAACTTAATATAGAGGTTGAAGAAAAAATTGACAACAGTAAAAGGTTCTTAACACTCAACAACAAAATATTAATTTAAAATCAAACATGTAATGAATGCAAGGTATTCTGCTAGCATCTGCCTGTCTTGTACCAAGTGATGTCACTGCAACCTAGGTCTGGAATACGATGGGCACTTTGACATAGAGGGCCAACCAATGCTGCCCAAACATCTTGGTTTTGATTTGAAACCCCTGCATGTTATGAGTTGCAATGTTTTCTATTACATACACTAAAATATCTGCTCTCATATCTCCCAACTGAAATGCTTTCTATTATATACAAAGTTTTCTGCTCTCATATCTCCCAACTGTCATTTCTTAGCATGTAAAAATTATGGTGTATATTTGAATTTTTATTTTATTTTCTTTCATTTTTTATTCTGTGTGTCTCCAACTGGTCTATAACTTACATATAGACCAGGCTAGCCTCAAATTCAGGCCTGCCTCTACCTCTAGAGTGCTGGGATTAAAATTGTGTACCACCATACCTGGCAGAGAGTTTGATTTAACAAACTATTTGTTTTTGCTAGAGAGTTAGTTTAAAGTGGTGCTGGTTGCTCTCCCTGAGGAACCAGGTTCGATTCCCAGCACTCACATGGCAGCTCCAATCATCTGTAACTCCAGTTCCAGGGGATCTAACCCCTTCTTCTTACTTCCAAGCAGACCAGGCACATAAATGGCACACAGACAGACATGCAGGTAAATACTCACATATAAAATAAAAATAAGCAAATCTTTCCTTAAAGGTATTGTTTCAGTCATCGACTTGACTTTCAGTTTTAGAACTCATTAATCAGGGCAGGAGAGATAGCTTGGTAAGGACACTTGTTTTGCACACACAAGGGATTTGAATCCCCAATACCCACATAAAGACATGGTAGTGAATACCCTTAATCCCAGCACTCTGGAGACAGAGGTGGATGAATGGAATTGAATCGAAAATCCTGATATTAACCCACACACCTACAAATACCTGATTTTTGACAAAACAGCTAAAAGTATACAATGGAAGGAGGAACACATCTTCAACAAATGGTGCTGGCACAACTGGATGAGGGTGTGTAAAAGACTGCAGATAGACCCATGTCTATCGCCATGCACAAAACTCAAGTCCAAATGGATCAAAGACCTCAACATAAATCCAGCCACACTGAACCTCTTAGAAGAGAAAGTGGGAGGTACCCTTGAACAAATTGGTACAGGAGACTGCTTCCTGAACATAACACCAGTAGCACAGACACAGATCGACAATTAATAAATGAGACCTCCTCAAACTGAGAAGCTTCTGTAAGGCAAAGGACACAGTCGACAAGACCAAACAGCAGCCCACAGACTGGGAAAAGATCTTCACCAACCCCACATTTGACAGAGGGCTGATCTCCAAAATATACAAAGAACTCAAGAAACTAGACACCAAAACACTAAATAACCCTATTAAAAAGTGAGGTACAGAACTAGGGGAATCCAAAAATGGTTGAAAGACCCTTAAGAAAGTGCTCAACATCCTTAGCCATCAGAGAAATGCAAATCAAAACATCTCTGAGATACCATCTTACTCCTGTCAGAATGGCTAAAATCAGAGGATGTGAAGAAGGAGGAACACTCCTTCACTACTGATGGGAGTGCAAACTTGTACAGCATTTTGGAGATCAATATTGCGGTTCCTCAGGAAAATGGGTATCAGTCTACCACAGGACCTGGCAATCCCACTCTTAGGCATATACCCAAATGATCCACATCTATGCAACAAAGACATCTCTTCAACTATGTTCATAGCAGCATTATTTGTAATAGCAAGAACCTGGAAGCAACCTAGATGCCCCTCAACTGAAGAATGTATAAAGAAGATGTGGCACATCTACAAAATGGAATACTACTCAGCGGGGGGAGGGGGTGTATGACAATGGAATCTTGAAATTCGCAGGCAAATGGATGGAATTTGAAGAAACCATCCTGAGTGAGGTAACCCAGTCACAAAAAGAGGAATATAGTATGTACTCACTCATATATGGACTTTAGACATAGAGCAAAGGATCACCAGCTATAATTCACACCACAAGAAATTATTCTTATACCCAGCTTTTTTTGTGTGAGATTTGGGAGGGAGTTTTGCTCCGTTTTGCTTTTGAGAGAGGGTCTTTCTATGTAGCCTGGCTGTCCTGGAACTCTGGATGTAGACTAGGCTGGGCTCAAACTCACAGAGAAACACCTGCCTCTGCCTCCTGAGTGCTTGGATTAGAGATATGTGCCAAGGTGCCTGGTATGCTCAGCTTTTTTACATGGCTACTGGAGGAGCAAATTCAGGCCCTCATGCTTGTAGATCAAGTACTATACTGACTGACCCATCTCAACCCAAGATTTAGCTCTTTCTGAGAAGGGAGAAAAACAAAAACCCAGGTACACCCATTCCCAGAGTGTGTAAATTTGTTCTTAACTTTAATAAATGGTGTAACCACAGGTATACCATAGGATTATTTTGATTTCTTCATGATTTAGTGCCAGTAGATGTTTGACTTGCATTCTTATTTTATATACCTATCTACCCAGGCTAACAACTTCTCTATAGAAGCCTTTAAGAAGCCCTGATCACGGTCAGAGGGAAACATAGAGATGACTCATCAAAACAACCCCACAAGGTGTCCCTGCCCTCTCCTGATAAGTGACTAAGGGAAAACTCAGAGAGGACAGCAGTTTGCCTGAGGACACATGACAGCTAAGCTGCCTGGTGGGGCCACAACCAAGTGAATGATGTTCATCTGTGGGTCCAATGCACAGTTGCTGACACTCCCTGAAACTAGCCTGACTTCCTGGCCACCTGCTCTATGTGGGGGGATGGGAGGGGAAGCATAACAGATCACTTGCTGGTCTTGGTGGCCAGCTGGGCAAAGCAACTGCAGGGGCCCAGGTCCCACTGCTGTGCAGAGAGCTTTGTAGTGTTCTCGAAGCAGTTGAGCTTGCATTCTCTTAGGCTCCAGAGATGACAATGCATGTGAGTTCACAAGCCTGTCCTCAAGTTTCACTTCTGGCTCTGGGCACCTCCCTGATTGTTCTGTCCCTTAGAGCAGTGGAGGAATCTGAGCAAGGGTCCCTGCCTGAAACCGAGAAGTCAGCTTGGCCCGCCTCAGTGTCCTTCCTGGGTAGAGGCATGGATGAGCTGAGTCCAATAGGGAGTGCCACGGGCACTTTCGGCTGCAGCACACACACACACACACACACACACACACACACACACACACACACACACCGTCCAATGTTTTATCTGCTGAGACACCAATGCTTGACACCCAGCCTTGGAGAAAACAGGAGCATAATATGCATTTGTTGACCAACCAAAGGAATGAATGCATATAATAAACTGTTTTGATCTCATTTAGAGTCTAAACCTCAGTTCATACTTGTGAAATACATCCTCCTTTCCGCTAAAATGAAAGCTCAAGAGGAGAAAATACAGCACACGTTTAGTATTAACATCAGGACTAGATGGGAACTTGTAGCAAGAGTGATTATAGCCACTGGATTATATTATAGTGATTATAGAAATGGAGAAAGAGTGGGTGTAGGGGGACAGAGAAGAGGGGAGGGGACTAGGAGGAGAGGAGGGAGAGCAAACTTCAGTTGCAATGTAATAGACAAATAAATAAGAAAGAAATGTCTTAGGCTGGCAAGAAGGCTCAGCAGCTAAAGGCATTTGCCTAGAAGCCT